TTATTTCCTCTTTAAGGGAGTTTTTTATTTCCTCTTTAAGGACCTCTATCATCTTCTTAAAGTCATTTTTAGGATTGATTTCTTCTGCTTTTCTGTGTTGGTATGTTCAGGTCTTGTAGGTGTAGAATCACTAGGTTCTGATGTTGTCATATAGGTCTTTATGTTGTTGCCTGTATTTTTGCAGTGGCGTCTACTCATCTCTTCCTCCGCTTGGTGCAGGCAGTGTCTGTGTCTGAAGGTGCCTCTCTTGTTCTAACTGATAGTCTTGGTTCACTAGGAGTTCTTGGTCAAATCGGTGCTGTTGGGCTGTTTCTCTGGGAGCAGCTTAGTCCAATCAGTGTTAGTGGGTTCTGTCTCAGGGAGCAGTTGTTCCTAATTGGTGCAGGGTGGGCTTATGGCTCCAGTGGTTGTTGGTGTCACATGAGTTTTTTTTTTTTTTTTTGGTGACGGGGCAGAGAAAGAGGCTGCTGTCGAGACCCTGGGGCTCCAATGGCTGTTCTCAGTTGGTGTAGGGTAGGCTTATGACTCCAGTGGTTGTTGGGTTTGCAGGGGCTGGTTATTTATTTTTTTTTTTTGTGAGGGAGCAGGGAAAGGTAGCTGCCTGGTCTCTGGGGCTCCAATGGCTGGGGCCTAGTGGGTAGAGACCTGGTCTGCTGGTCCAGAGATGGGGCCTTACCTGTTCCCAGTTGGTGTAGGATGGGCTTATGACTCTGGTGATCTGGTTCAGTGGTTGGATGGCTCCTTCTCTTGCATTCTTGGGTCATGTTCTACTCACTTGCCAACTCCTCAGCTGATCTTGTTTCCTCAGACTGCTTCTGAAACCTCTCCTGAATGGATCTAAGCTGAACAGGTTGATCAGTAGGGCAATCTCACCAACACTTACAAGTTGTTGGGCTTCACAGGATTGACAGCTGGGCCCCGGGTTGGCCTTATGGCTCCTTCCCTGAGTGCTGGGATTAAAGGTGTGCAATCAGTCTGAGCTGCTCCTCACCTACAGTCTCGCAGTACAAGCTCTTGTTATTGTAAATAAATCTTGTCCATTCCAGTCCAACAGCTCATCAAGTATGTTTCTTTCCCAACTTTTACATTACGACATCACACATGCAGTGGGCTGGGGGTGTGTGTGTCACGTCGCCTCCTTCCGTCCTTAGGACAAGCCTCGAAAAGTGCATTTGCTAATGTGCCATTTTTATGTGTTATTTTTAATTGGCTCTTTTTTTTTTTTTTTTTTGGTTTTTCAAGACAGGGTTTCTCTGTGTAGTTTTGGTGCCTGTCCTGGATCACACTCTGTAGACCAGGCTGGCCTCTGTGAATTTTCTTTTATTAAAATACTACTAAAAGAGCATTTTAGAAGTAAAATGATCTTTTAGGTATTCAATTGACACATTCAAGGCTCTCAAAGTAAAGGGCAGAAATCAGTATTTACAACATTCTCTGAAGGAGTTTAAAGTTGTTTGAGACATACATCAATAATCACCACCACCAAGTAATTAGAATGTAACTATCCGATACAGAGAGTTCTGCTCAGATTCATCATGCACCAGTGCTATCGTCAAATGCATCTCACCTTATCTTCCTAACTAAATTTAACAGAGTAAAGATCATGCTTTATTACTTTTTTTTCCCCCAAAACCTTGCATGTAAACATACTGTTTTTAGAATGACAGGTAGGGGAGAATCAGGAACAAGATACTGGCAAATTCTCCACTTTTCATCTAAAGTTAGAGATTCTGGAGGCAATAAATCAATAGCTTCTAATTCTGTACCTCGGTATATCATTTGTATTTGTTCGTTTATAGGAAATAAGACTCTGAGGACACAAAGGTTAATAGAGTAGGTTCCCACACTTAGAGAATGAAGCAGAGTTAGCAAAGAGGATATTGTTAATCTTGTCCTGCTAATCTGTACTATAAGAAAGACATTTCTATTTTGTACAACTCTTCTCTCTAGGCACAAGATTATAAGACAGGAGATGAAGGAAGCAACTGTTTCCTGATTTGTACATTCTGAAGGCATAAGGAGACAGGAGGAATGGGGTCTTGAATTAAAAATTTAAGTCACGCCGGGCGGTGGTAGCGCACGCCTTTAATCCCAGCACTCGGGAGGCAGAGGCAGGCGGATCTCTGTGAGTTCGAGGCCAGCCTGGACTACCAAGTGAGTTCCAGGAAAGGCGCAAAGCTACACAGAGAAACCCTGTCTTGAAAAACAAAACAAAAACAAAACAAAACAAAAAAATTTAAGTCACAACAGATGAGAGAGCTGGTCATGAGAATGAGAGAACTAGCCCTGTCCCTCACCAGCTGCAGCACACAGGAGAGCAGGCCCTGCACCCTGCCTGGAAAGTACTCTACGGTTGACTCTGTTGTTGGGCTCAGGTGAGCCAGCACTGAGCTCTGAGGGTTCGAGAGCATGAGAGCCGACACTGCCCCCTTCTCTACCCCCTCTACAGCAATCGGGAGAGACAGCCCTGCAACTCATCTGGGCAAAATGGTAGAGCTGTCCTTGGTGGTGTGAGTGTTGGTGAGCCAGATCTGAGGACTTGAGAGCAGGAGACCTGGCCTGGCTCCTTGCTGCAAGCTGTACTGGGTGAGCTAGTCAAGGCAGTGCTGGAGAGCTCACCTGGGGAAGTGATGATGAAGAAAATCTGGTAGGCTGACCAACCCAGTTACCACCCAGGCCCAGAACCAGGGCTATGAGTTGGCCCACCCCAACATCCACTGCATCTATGAACCATTGGAGCATGTGAAGGGGTTGAACCTATAGATCTAAAACAGCAGAATCTCCATGACACAGGACAACAACAGGATATCCAAGAGGAGCCCAAGTGAGAGCCCATTATTGGTGGTGTAGCAGAAGCTAGAGGCCTTGAACTAGACCAATGACTCATAGCAATAAACACAAGTAAAGATGAATGGACTAAAGAGTAAAATGTGTGACTCAACGAGCCACACTACAGCTTCCATGACATGCTTCATCATCATCTCTTTTTTTATATATGTGAAATCCACAAAGAATCAATAAAGCTAAAGAGTAAAAAAATGCATGTAGGTGGATGTTGGTGGGACTGTAAGCTATGGAACTTTCTAGAGAAAGAAGCTTAGAGGATTTGTGGAAGGGTAACAGAACACATGGGACATGAAAATGAGAAGGACATTGCTGGAAAGAGGGTCACAAGGAAGGACAGTGGGATGGGAGAGAAGACTCAATGAAAACAAATGTTTGAAAATACAGTATTCAAACCTGATGTTTTGTATGCTACTTAAAGCTAATTGATTGATAAACTTAAAAAGATAAGTCTTGTGCACATGGTATTGATATAAAGTAAACACTTTCAAGAACTGAAGATCATTGGAATGAAAGAAAGCATTTAAACCCTCCTTGTCTGAAGGGTGGACTTGAGCCTGAACACGTAATATATCCTTGGATCTAATCATAGAAGCTATAATGTCCATCAGTGTGATCAAATCAGTTATCAAGGTATTACTACATCTATCCTTATCAGGACTAATAATAAATAATTTAATTAGATATTTAAAAAATTTACGGGCTGGAGAGATGGCTCAGTGGTTAAGAGCACCGACTGCTCTTCCAGAGGTCCTGAGTTCAATTCCCAGCAACCACATGATGGCTCACAACCACTTGTAATGAGATCTGGTGCCCTCTTCTGGCCTGCAGGGACACATGCAGGCAGAATACTGTATACATAATAAATAAATAAATCTTAAAAAAATTTAAGTCATGAATTCATCTATAAACTCATGAGAGGAAAACAGTCTCATTTTGTTTACTACTCTTACCTATCCTCATCTTTAATTCAAGTGTCTTAGAACTCTTGTATAGCCTGCAACTTAAGTATCCCCTAAAGATCCCTAGGGTGGTGTTATTAAAAGTGTCAGGAACCTTCAAGAGGTAAGGACTGATACGAGGTTTTAGGTCACTGGTAAAACGTCACTGAAAAGGGACAGTCAGGTCCCAACCTCTCCCTCTCTTTTCCTTCCTGGCCATGAGATACATGGTTCTGCTTTGTTATACTCTCCTACATGATGTACACTAGAGACCCAAAACAAATGAGCCAATCAATCATGAGTGGAAATCTTCAAAATTGTGAGCAAGAACAACCTTTCTTTTTACAAACTGATTATCTCAGATATTTATCATAGTGGTGGAAATCTAAATAACACAAACATCAGTTGTCACCTCACTGCCATACTACTTTGCTTTCAGATTATGTGTTATAAACTGTAAAAATAATAAAATGCTAAATGAATGGAACAGTGTGTACCTAAGGATTCTAATGCTGCCAGGCATGGTGGTGCTTGCCTTTAATACCAGCACTCAGGTGGCAGAGACATTATGATTTACACAGAGAGCACTCTGGTTTACATAGCAAGTACCATGACAGTCTGAGCTACATAGAAAGACCAACCACATGTCAAAAACAAAACAAAAAAGAAGAATTCAAATAAATACCTAAGAAGTATCAATTACCAACAAAGATAGTCCCTTAGTTTTATTTATACACACACACACACACACACATATATGTGTATATATATATATATATATATATATATATAGAGAGAGAGAGAGAGAGAGAGAGAGAGAGAATGCATTATAATATTTCAAAAGCAGCATGCATTCAGTTGAAACCATAACTTGATTTTTGATCTTTTTCCTCTGTGAGCTGATCCTTTCTTATAATGCTAGACAGTGGCACAGAATCACAGGGTCCTAAGAGTAAGCAATGGACCTTCTACAGTACACTGCTGCTAAGTCCTGTAATTTGGTAGGTTATCTGTATTAAAAAAACACTTTGGTTTATAATATTTTCAATTTATAATAGGTTTGTCAGACTGTAACCCCATCATAAGTCAAGGAGTGCCTGTAGAGTTTAGTGTAATTTGAAAAAGAAACTTCTTGAGTCCTCCATGCCAAGTCCATGTTCTAAAGTACATAAAGTAACCACCACAGAACTAATTCACCCTGGACATTAAAGTTACCTGAGTCAGGTCACAGTAGGTCCTCAAAGAAGGTGCTGATTTGAGTTCTTTTGCTATCTTCATAGCTGCATCCAAATCGTTTTTTTTCTCTTCAATGTAGCTTTTAACTGTTGCTAATTTTGATAAATAATCATCTGTGCGTCTTACAAGTTCTTCACACAAGCTCTTTTTCCTTCATTGAAGACAAAGTTATTTTGTGATAGTTTACTAACATTTTTATAAAGGTAAATTTATGACTGAGCAGTATTCTTACTTTCACCAAGTGATGAATTTAACTAATAGAATAATTTCACTGATGATGAATTTAAATAATATGGTTAAAAGAAGCATGTTCTAACAGAACAGCATCTGAAAAGCTAATTTTATTAGTTGATAAACTTAACATATAACATGGCTAAATGAGGCATTCAACTAAGTTGAAATAAATTACAATTGAAATCCATGTGTGAATAAAGAACAAAAGGGATGGAAATATGGCTCAGATGTTAAGAGCACATTCTGCTCTTCTTGCAGAGGACCCGAGTTTAGTCTCTGGCACCCAAGTCAGGCAGCTCACAACCACCTATCACTCCAGTTCCAGGGAATCTGATGCCCTATTCTGGCCTCTGTGATCACCAGCATTCACGTGCACATGTCCTCACACAGTAAAAAAAAAAAAAATCATTAAAATATAAAATTAAAAAATAAAATAATTGAGGCTAGAGTGATCACTGAGGGGTTAAAATAATTAATTTGTACTGCTCTTGCCGAAGATCTGGGTTCAGTTCCCAGCACCTGCATGGTGACTTACAAATGACTCTAACTCCAGTACCAAGGAATCTGATGCCATTTCCTCACCTCCCATGGGGCACTAGGCACACCTATGGTACACATATATACATGCAGGCAAAACATGCACTTAATAAATAAATCTTAAAAAAATAATTTAAAAATTAGTCTTAAAAAGAAAAAAAAGACAGTTATGTCATAGACATGAGACTTTAGAACATTCTATCTAACTAGGAAAAATTCTGCCTGTATCTATCCTGTAGTCTTTTGTGCCCTTACAGAGATATATATGTACTCACTTTTTGCAAAGGTTTAATTGTACATTTTAAAATATTATCATGGGTCTATAGTCTATGAATAATATATAATGAGATTTAAAAACAGCACTAAACCAGAAGTTAGATACCAATTTAAAATATAATATTCAAAGATATCTCCTTGAGTGGTTAAATAGTTATGTCTTCACTAGCTACACATCATTACTCAAATCTTTTTTTCTCTCTAGGGTGGAATTTCTTCATTATAGCAATTTAAAAGGTCTGAACTGAAAACTGAAAAATTCAAGTATTTTAGTCACTAGGCAAAATGACCTCTCATTATTTTTTGCAAATCAAATCTAGCCCCTAGCAAAGGAAGTTTGCCAACACTAAAGAAAATGGGCTAGGTTTGGAAGGTAAACAGATACTCTCCAAACCTTTGGTGACATATAGTTTTTTAAAGTGGTCTCTTTAAAAAAGACATGTAAGTTCCTATAACATTAGAAAGAAGTATGAAAGTATCATTTCCCCATGGACACATGAAAAAACAACCCAAAACTGGCTAAGACCATCTCATGAGAACATTGGAAATCAGTATTTTTTAAAAAAAGACATTTTGTGGCTTCTTCTGGAAGCAGGAACACAGTTTCCAATTCCTCAACTCCAACCAAAGAGAGAGCAAGAGACCTGACTGGTGACATTAGTAAAGCCTGTTTTGTACTGTCTGGAGGACTGATCTCTTGTGTTAGATCTTAGGCAGTAGAAAAGAATGGTAGACACTCAGGAACACTGCAGCAGGACACATATACAGGGTAAGATAGTATAGGTAGATATGCAACAGAGAACTTGAAACCTAGGAGGAGCTGAGATTCTTTTGGAAATTAAGACATAAAGGTGGTTATGTACACAGAGGAATGGACAAAGCCACACTTGGGCCACAAAGGAGCAGACTTAAGCCTTCATCTTATACTGACCCTAAGGTTCAGAACGTTCCAGCTATTCCATGAAAAATATTCCAGCAAGAATCAAACTATAAAGACTGAAAAAAGTTGCTAGCTTTTCATGCCCAAGTTTCAACACAAAGACTACCAGGAATATGAATGAATAACACCTACAACATGATATGGCTCATTCAGAGGAAGAGAATAGAGTGTTGGAGACTTTCTGAGGAAGCACAGGCACTGGACTTCGTAGACTGATGTGAAACAACTGTCTTAAATATGTTCAGAAAAACAAAAGAATACATGAAAAAGAAGTAGAAGAAATTAGGAGAGTGGCCTAAGAATAATAATTAAAATATCAAGACAAAAAGAACATAAAAAGGAATCAAGCTTGCAGATAGAATGACCTCTCAGGATTAGACCCTGGGTTGCAGAGCTGGGCATGGTGGAACATGCCTGCAATTCCAGCATCTGAGGGGTGAGGAAGGAGAATTCTGAGTTTGAGGTCAGCATGGTCCACATGTGCATTTGAGGTCAGTCTGGATTATACAATAAGGCCCTGTTAAACAAACAATAAAACAAAGCCGAGGAAGGAATCAGTGGTGGAAGCAGAATCAAGCATCAGCCAGGTTAGAAGATAGGACAATTAAAATTGTTTCTGGGGAACAACAAAAACAAAAAGAGTGAAAAGAAACTAAAACAAAGAGAGATGATAGGACCTGTTAAACACCAACAGGCAAACAAACAGGAGGAGGAGAAAGACGGAGGAAATAGGAAAACCACAAAAGAAAAAACAACTTCCAAAATTTGATGAGACAAAGATCTACAAAGCAACTCCATGTAAAATAAACCCTGTGTCCCCCCAAATATTGTGTTCCCCTAATAAACTTATCTGGGGTCAGAGACAGAACAGCCACTAGACACAAAGGCTAGAAAATGGTGGCATTCACACCTTTAATCCTAGCATTCCAGAGGTTGAAATCCCTCTGGATCTCTGTGAGTTCAAGGCCACATTGGAAACAGCCAGGCATGGTGACACACACCTTTAATCCCAAGAAGTAAGACTTTAATCCCAGGGAGTGGTGGTAGAAAGCAGAAAGGTATATAAGGCGTGAGGACCAGAAACTAGAAAGAAGCATTTGGCTGGTTAAGCTTTTAGGTTTTGAGCAGCACAGTTCAGCTGAGAGCCATTCGGATATGAGGACACAGAGGCTTCCAGATTGAGGAAACAAGAATCAGCTGAGAAGTTGGCCAGGTGAGGTTAGCTGTGGCTTGTTCTGTCTCTCTGATCTTCCAGTGTTCACCCCAATACCTGGCTCAGGTTTGATTTTATTAATAAGAACTTTTAAGATTCATGCTACAAAACCCATACAGTCAAACTGTTGAAAGGCAGAGAAACAATCATGAGACCAAGAAGAGAAATGTAATTTGTCATACACAACAAATTTCTAGTAAGATTATTGGTCAAATTCTCAGGAGAAACTTTCAAGGCCAGAAGGCAATGGAAGAATATACATAAAGCATGAAAGGAAAAAAAATCTGTGAATAGAATTTCATATTTAGCAAAGTTGTCTTAGAAAAGAGGCAGAGAAGGGCTGAAGAGGGATGGGTCAGAGGTTAAGACCACTGGCTGCTCTTCCAGAAGAACCAGATTTGATTCCCAACACTCACATGGCAGTTCACAACCATTCATAACTCCAGTTCAGGGAATATGATGCCCTCTTCTGGCCTCTGTGAACATTGCATATACATGGTACACAGACATGCATGCAGTCAAAACACCCAGACACGAAAAGAAAAGAAAGAAAAAAATTAGTTAAAAAAGAAAGAAATGAGAGACAAACAGGAGAAGAAAAATAGGAGGAAATAGGAAAACCACAAAACAAAAACAAAAAATTAGGGAAAAAAATGGCTATCAATAAGAAAACAACACATGCTGTTCAGGATGTAGAGGAAACATGAACTTTTGTACACTGCTGATGGGAGTGTAAATGAGTCCAGCTATTATGGAAATTAGTACAGAGGTTTTTCAGAAAAACAAAATTAAACCACTGCACAACCCAGCTACAACAGTCTTGGGTACATATTGGGTAGTTTGAATGAGAATGGTCACCACAGGCTAATATATTTGAATGTTTGGTTCCCAACTGGTGGACTGTTGGAAAGGATTAGGAGTTGTGTCCTTGCTGAAGAAGTTGTGTCACTGGGGGTGGGCTTTGAGATTTCAAAAGCCCAAGTTAGGCCCTGGCTCACTCTCTCTGTCTGCAGTCTACAGATCTGATAAGAGTTCTCAGCTACTTCTCTAGCACCACGCCTGCCTGCCTGCCTGCTGCCAAGCTCCCTACCATGATAATGGACTTACCCTCTGAAACTCGAAGCAAGTTAAATTAAATGCCCAATAAAATGCTTTCCCTTATAAGTTGCCTTGGTCATGGTGTCTCTTCACAGCAATAGAAAAGTGACTGAGACAACATCCAAAGAAACCTAAGTGTGCTTGTTAGTGTTTTTTGTCAACCTGACAAACTAGAGTCACTAGGAAAGAGGGAATCTCAGTTGAAGAACTGCTTTGACTGGCTTGTGGTCATATCTATGAGAGATTACCTCCATTAATGAGTAATGCAGAAGGACCTAACTGACTGTGGGCAACACCATCCCTGGGCAGGTGGACCTGGGCTGTATAGGAAAGCTAGCTGAGCATGAACCAGAGAACAAGCCAGCAACAGAAAGCAAAGCAGGACAGAGTCAAAGTTAGAGGTCTAAGAATGACAACTACAAAAGAAAGCACAGCGAAAGGAAACCAAAAGCATAAACTCTAACAAAAGAAATAACAAATCAGTTGTACTTCATCTAGGTCCATTCTTCAACGGCAGAACACTTGCCTAGCATGCATAAGGCCTTGTCTAATCCCTAGCACCAAAGGGGGAAAATCAACTATTTTATGCACTGGGCATAAAAGGCCATAAAAATTTAAGGAGATCAAGTGTTGGTGAAGAGACAAATGACATTACTAAGCACATTGCTTTAGTCTTATCAAAAGTTTTATGAACCTTTATCTTGAAACATACGTAATTAAAAATAACATGTCAAATAGCTTTGAAAAAAGTAGTATTAAATTATTGTTTAGTAACTGCCTATCAGAAAGCCTTCTTTTCTGATGCAAATAAGCACGTGAGAAAATGATAGGCTCATGTAGAAGAAAAAAGTTGTTTGTACTTCCCCAAATATGTGAATTCTACAACATGAATTAGGCTATGAAAATATTTTTCTTTGTTAATTGCTTTAAGAAAGAAATGTGGTAGCTCAGACCTGTAATAGCACTTGGGAGACTGGGGCAAGAGGATAATGTACTTGAGCTCAGCCTAGGTGACACATTGGTACCCTATCTTTAAACACACACATGTACATTCACACATGCATACATGTGCAAATGAGGGGTAAGAAACAAAGACACAAAGAAAGAAGCTTGTTAACTCTAAAGTTAGCTTTGGAATTACCAAACAGACAAAATTCTGGAGGCATAGACAGTTTTTCACTTGAACTTCTGAAAGCCAGTCTTTCAGTTTTTCGTTTGAGGCAGGATCTCACACTGTTGCCCAGCCTGATTTCAAATTCACAGAAACCCACCTCTCTCAGCCTCCTGAATGAATGCTGTGATTACAGGCCTGAGTCACCACACCTAGCTAGAAATCAGTCTTTAAGACTCACCTACTGCTGGGCAGTGGTGGCACACGCCTTTAATCCCAGCACTCAGGAGGCAGAGCCAGGCAGATCTCTGTGAGTTCAAGGCCAGCCTGGTCTACAGAGTGAGATTCAGGACAGGCACCAAAACTACACAGAGAAACCCTGTCTTGAAAAACCAAAAACCAAAACCAAGAAAACAAAAACAACAATAACAACAACAAAACTCACTACTACCTTCTAAGCTTGTTTTAAAGTTACATGTAACTTCAGTCTATTTGAACAAAGGAACAGAATGACAAGTTAATATTAAGAAAGTTGGTTTCATCAAGTCTGTATTTTTAAGTTATTACCTGGAATCAAGAGAAGCAAGAAGTTTATCAAATTGTTTCTCCACAACCTCTGTTAGACTGTGTGTCTCCTCTCTTGTTTGATTTTGTGTACTATCAAGCATCTGGAAAAAAAATTCAATAAACCTGGTATTCACTTTGGAGTAGTTGTATCATCAATATATTATTGAATGGAAAAGATACTTTCTAGACTTTTCAAAAATAGCCACAGAAGTGATAATAAATAGAGCAAACCATTAAGTTCAACTTTATACTCTGGCACTTGTCAGCAAGATCACATCTTGTGGGCATTTTTGTACTGATAATTTGACAAAACAAAGAAAAAAACAAAAGCACCTAAAAATCTACTGATAGGTTTTATAAACTTTTTCTTATCCCTTTTTATCATAACAGAACAAAAGTCATTTTGGATAACTGAATTTCTCTATAGCAGTATTCTCTAAATTATTGAAACAAACAAACCAACAAACCAAAACAAAACTCCAAAATCCCCAAACCAAAGTTAGAAAACACACTTCAGCTCTTGGTGTAGACTTAGGGTCTCTTAGCTCTTTTGTTTCTGTCTCCAGACTTAGTCTTACTGCAGGCAGTAGCCTCTCCTCCCACCCTACCTCATTCCCCCAGGGACTCTGCTTCTTGGTGTGGACCCAGGTTTCTCTAGCTCTTTGCTGTTGCCTCTTCTCAGCCTTTCTTCCTAGCCCATCTCCATTCTTTTGTATCATCCATAGACCTACTCTCTATCAGGGACCCCACAGTTACCACACTTGCCTAGGATTCAGAATGGGCAACAGCAACCAAAGAATGAACACCCATCCAACAAAGACAATTGCTGATATCTACACCAAGAAACACCTCAAACATCCTAACTTCAGAGTCCTAGATACCAGTACAAAGCCACAAACGTGAACAGTCAAGATGATATGCCTCCTTCAGAAGCCATAAACCCATTGTAATAGGCCTCAAAAAATGCGATTTAGCTGAAACATAAGACAAAGACTTCAAAACAGCAATTATGAACATGTTCAAGGACCTTAAAGAGGATAGGAATAAATTCCTTAATGAAAATGTAGACGGTTGAATAAAATAATAAAACAATTCCAGCATAATTCTTATAGAAATTTAAAGAATCTTTAACTTCGCATGGACACACACACACACACACACACACACACACACACACACACAACACACACACCAGGATAGCTAAAACAATCCTGAATAATAAAAGAATTGCTGGAGATATCACCACCCCTGATTTCAAGTTATATTATGGAACTACTGAAATAAGAATAGCATGGTATTGGCAAAACAAACAAACAAACATAACCAGGCAGACACATTGATTAATGGAACTAAATTGAAGAACCAGACATAAATCCACACATATATGGACACACAATTTTTGACAAAGCAAAAAATACACACAGGAGAAAAGACAACATCTTTTCTTTTTAAATGATACAAGTCAAACTGAATGGCTTCATGTATTAGAATGAAAATAGATTCCTATCTATTACTTTGCACAAAACTCAACTCCAAAAGTATCAAAGACTTCGTACTGGCTGGTCAGCTTGACACAAGCAGAAGCCTCAGTTGATGAAATGCCTCCATGAGATCCCCCTGTCAGGAATTTTCTCAATTAGTGATCAATGGGGGAGGGGGCAGCCCAATGTGGGTGGTGCCATCCTTGGGCAAGTGGTCCTGGTTCTATAATAAAAGCAGGCTGAGCAATCCATGAGGAGTAAGCCAGTAAGCAGCAACTCTTCTGTATCAGCTCCTGCCTCCAGACTCCTGCCCTGTTTGAGTTCCTGTCCTGACTTCCTTTGGTGATGAACAATGTGGAATTATAAACTGAATAAACCCTTTTCTCCCCAGCTTGCTTTTTGTTTTGTCACAGCAATAGAAACCCTGACTAAGACAGACTTCAATGTAAGACTAGACAGTCTGAATCTGATAAAAGAGAAAGTAAGAAATTGGCTTGAACTCGTTGGCACAAGAAAGTGTGTTCTGAACAGGGCACTGATAGCACAGACACTAAGACCCACAATTAATAAACTGGACCTCAGGAAGCTGAAAAGGTGTATGGCAAATAACACATCATTTGGGCAAAGTGGCAGCCTACAGAATGGGAAAAGATCTTTAACAATCACACATAATTAGTATCTAAATATGTAAAGATCTAAAAATGCAACATTAAGAAAGCAACCCAATTAAAAACAGGGTACAAGACTAAACAGAGTCCTCAAAAGATGAAACACAAATTAGCAAGAAACACTTAAAGATATGTTCAACATCCTTAGCCATCAGGGAAATGTAAATTAAAAACTACTTTTAGATTTCATTTTATCCCAGTCACAATGGCCAAGATCAATAAAACAAATGACAGCTCATGCTAGCAAGAAACACTTCATTGCTGGTGGGGTGCAAACTGGTACAGCCACTATGGAAATCAGTGTTTCCTCACAAAGCTGGGAATGAATCTACCCCAAGACTGAGCTATCCTGCTCTTAGGCATACACTCAAAGGACTCTACCTCCTACTATGGAGATGCTTGCTTATCCATTTTCATTGCTGCTCTATTCATAACAGCCATAAACTGCAAATAGCCTAGATGTCTCTCAACTGACAAATGGATATGAAACTGTGGCATATTTATACAATAGGGAAGAGAGCATCTCCCAAGGAAGGGGAAATAAAACATAAGAGTTATGGCGAGAAAACGGAGAATCTAGAATAGGAGGATTAAACGGGGGGGGGGGGGGGGGGGGGGGGGGGATGGAAAAGAAGGATAAAGGAGGGGATATGGGAACGGACAACTAACAAGAAAGGCTGTTTGTAAAACTATATGGAAACCTACTACTGCAGAAGCTTCCTAAATTATACACATATATGAAAGGAATCTAAATAGAGCCACAAAATCATAGGGGAATTGATACCGAAACTAGACATCTTATGTCACCAAGTAAAACCTCCATTCCCAGGAATGGGTTATATCTTGTTGAGTCATTGGCCAAAGGGACTCCATGGAAACCTCTAAATATCACAGGCTAATGCCATGGTTATTAGTTGCTCTCTACAACCTGATGGTAAGGCCTTATTTGCTGAAGACAATGCTTACTTATATCATTGAACACTGAGAAGTTGAGCTGGTTCCTAACTAGACACTTCACCCTAACTGACTAGCATTCATGGTACTGGAAGGTTCTCTGTATGCTACTAGAGGAGCCAAGAGCCTTAGACTAAATAGGTCATGGGCCCTAGAGGAAAATCTATTATTCTTCTGCTAAAGCAGTGGTTCTCAACCTGTGAGTCATTCAAATATCCTGCATAACAGATATTTAAATTACAATTCATAACAATAGCAAGATTACAGTTATGAAGTAGCAACAAAATAATTTATGGGTCTCACAACATGAGAGGGACTGTATTAAAAGGTTGTAGCATTAAGAAGGTTGAGAACCACTGTGCTAAAGGAACATAGCAATAAAATGACTAGAAATGACATACTGATATACCCATGGATCAGTGCCTCACCTAGCCCTCATCAGAGAAGCTTCTACTTGCGGTAGATGAGAACTACTACAGAGACCCACAATTGGACAATATGCAGAGAGTGAGACACTTTGGAGCACTCATTCTTAAATGAGATGTCTTCAAAACCCCCTCCCCCACCAACACTCAGGTATATGTGGAAGAGGAAGCAGAAAGATTGTAACAGCCAGAGGTAATTGATGACTATAATGGATGACTCCAAGGAAACAAGATCTAGATGCAACAATTGATGTACATATGAACTCATACACACTATGGCAGCACACACAAGATCTACACAGGATCAAGACAAATGCCCAACACTGAGAAGGCAAAGTGGACAGGGGTTTCCACTCCTAACCAAGAAGCTATATGTCATTGATATTCACCAGCAAAAGGAAAATCTGTTTTCTCCAATGGAGTCTCATTGGGTATATCAACTACACTTCAAGGCAGGCCCCATGTCCAAGAGTAGTTGGCCAATGCAAAATAAACTCCATGGTAGTTTTGTAAACTTTTTGTTTCAGTTTGTTTTGTTTTGGCTTTTTTTTTGTCTTATTGGTCTTTTGCTTATTTGTTTTGATTTCCACTTTTGTGTTTTTGTGGGTTATTTTGGTGCTGTATTTCTTCTTTTTTTTCTTTTTGAAAGAGAGTGAAAAGTTGGGTGGGTAGAGAGGTGGAGAGAATCTGGGAAGAATTGTGAGAAGGAAAAACATGATCAAATATATGAAAAAATTCACTAAAAATGTATTTAATAAAATACATATTACATTCTACTAAAAAACAAAGCAAAAAACTGAAATGAAAAGGTTAGCTATTTTAAGTTTAATTTTAAACCACTCAAAAATTTTTGCTTGAGACTTGAGATCCATGGCCTCTATATTGCTGTAGTTTTTTGTTTGTTTTTGGCATGGCCATGCCTACCTTACTTATGTCTGTCTCAGGAAAGTACTATGAAGCAGATTATTACTTTGCATTCACAGGCTCACTATTGGAAAAGAATTCTGCTCAAGTCTCACCTACATCTGACTCAGGAGATACTTAAGATTTTGGCACTATTGTTGATACTGGAACTATAAGATTTGAGGGATGATAGGATAGGGTAGATGTATTGTGCATTATGAAAGAAAGGAATTGGGTTTTGAGTAGAGGGTGGCTGGCTTGGAGCTGAACTGTGCCCCTTTCAAATTCAGTTGTTGAAATCCTACATCCTGTTATTTTAACACAGAGGTGCGTGTAAGTACAAGATTGTCATCACAAGTTAACATTCTTTATTCTCTCATTTTCTCAATGTTTTTCTTTCTCATAACTCTCACCCCATTATTTTTATTGTATTTCTAATTCCTTTTGAGAAAGCTGATTTTTTTTGTAGTTATTGTGTATTTACATAATGAAAGCAACTGCCCTTAAAACAAGTCATACAATTACATCTTTTTTTTTTTTTTTTTTTTCAGAGAAGAAAACCAAGAGGTCAGAGCTAAGAGCCTCACCCTTCCTGATTCAGGGATCCTCTCCAGCCAAGAGAGCTCTCCGAAAAGGACCTACTTCCTGTGTGTCTGTCTTTAAAGTCTTCCTGTTCTGCCTTCTCATTGGTTGTAAACCCAAACATGTGACTGCCTCGTCACTGCCTGAATGTACCGCCCTCCAGGTCCTTAAAGGCGTGTGCCACCGCCGCCACGCACTTGGAAAGCTGATTTTTTAAACATAAAGTATTAATTATATTTCTACTTAGCAGGAACAGTTTGAAAGTGAAATTAAAGAAGCAATTCCTTTTACAGTAGCATCAAGCAGAATAAAATACACAGCATAAATTTTAACAAGAAAGTACAGTACGTGTTCATTGAAAACCAAGAAATATTGTTTAAAGATTTAACAAATGAAGGAATAGCCAGTAAAAGCTTTTTTTTAAAAAAAGTGAAATTTAATCAATCCACAGAGTCTCCCTCTTCTATGTAAAAAAATAACAACACACAACCAGCTCAAAACCCTGAAATCCTTCATTCTAAAAATGTTGTTGCTGGGTGTTTAAGGCCTAGTTTCTTGTCAGGTAGAGCAAGCAGCAAAGAAAACGAGACTTTCTCCATTGGAGGACACAGCTAAACAAGGGGCAAATTCTGCAAAGATGAAAATCCAGTTGACAGAAAGTACACATCCTGATTCCTCATACACTCTGACTTTATGAACCTTCTTAGAATAACAATGTTACAAACTCAATCCAGGCAGGTCATGAGGGCAGGGGTAGTTTCCAATTCTTTTGCATGTTTCTCTATTAGTATATTATTATGTTTAAAAACTGAGTGCTAAACTCAGTGATATACATACAAATGTATACATTTATAGAGGACATTTTGGCTGGGGCTGTAGCTCAGTGGTAGAGTGATTGGTTCACATGCATCATACTCTACGTTCAATCCTCCATTCTGCCACATCCTGCTCCCAAAAGAGAGGATATGTGTATTATTAATTAATATTATTCACTTAATATAATATTAAGTGAAGGCACATAATCTCAGGAAGAAAAAAATCACCCACATGTTCTCACTTATATGCAGAACACAGCCAATAACACAATGTATGTATATAAACACATGTAAGTGTATATAGTATAACATGTAGAAAGAGAACAAGAAATGATAAATATGAAGAGATGAAAAAGGACATAAGTAATGGAAGACGTTATAAAGCTAATTGCTATTTTAGTTCTAATTTTGCCATGGATTTCTGGTAGGAAATATATAAAAATATATTCGAGCCGGGCGGTGGTGGTGCACGCCTTTAATCCCAGCACTCGGGAGGCAGAGCCAGGTGGATCTCTGTGAGTTCGAGGCCAGCCTGGGCTACCAAGTGAGTTCCAGGACAGGCGCAAAGCTACACAGAGAAACCCTGTCTCGAAAAACCAAAAAAAAAAAAAAATAAAAATAAAAAAATAAAAAAAATATATATTCAATAATGAAGTATAAAATCTAACGTGAAGCATGACAGCTTAAGAGTTGCTGTTTTAACTGTGTAGAAGTTCAGTGAGATGTACAGGCTCTAGATATGGAGAATTTTGGCGCATGATGTTTTTTATTTGCAAGCTTATTATAACAAAGATAACTAAAAAGTGTTTTCATAAAGAGGCCATGCTTTACCTCCTGGTAGAATTATTCAAAATGCTTACTTTTATAGCATTACTTAATTGTTCAAAATTATAGCCTGCTATCTTCAGTGCTTCGTCGATTTCTTCTGTCTCCTAAGAAGAGAGGGAACCACATACAAATATAACATGCAAAAACAGATGCTTAGATACATTATAGTTGTAAAAACTTGAGCTGTAATTTTGGTTATAAATGCAACAAAGATCTACCAATGAAGTGTAAAAGCAAGCAACAACAATAAAAATACTTCTAATCCTGCCTATCTAAAATTTAAAAAAATTTCCCATACTATGGATAGAAATCCAGGACCTCAGGCAACTAGTCTACCAGTGAGCTATATCCTCAGTCAGAAGAGGAACTCATTTATGTAGACCAGGCTGTCCTCAAACTTGCAATAATCCTCCTGCTCCTGCCTTTATAGTGTTGAGGATATAGTAATACACCACCATACCTAGTGACCTGTGAGTCTTCTGCCTCAGCCTCCCAAGCACTGGTAGTACAAACACATGCCATCAAAGCCACCATAAAATATTGTTTAACAGTAAAATTGTACCATGAATCCATTTTTCAATTTAAAATTATCTCAGAAAATGTATCATGAAAAAAGTATATAGACAAACAGTTTTTAAGAAAAGATGATTATAAATATGGCTCTTTGAAGAGTTTAACTTGATAATCAGACGAGTTAACACACATTTGTAATCAGAGCACTTGGGAGGTACAGGTAGCAGGATCATATCATCTTGAGCTATGTAGTGAGTTCAAGTCCAGCTTGAGCAACATAAGGTTCTATTTTTTGGTTTTAAATTAGAGTTAAAAAAAAAGAGAATGAGTACAATTTAGGCTTCACTCCCCTCTTCCAGACCAGTAATGATTTTTACAAGAAGACTCTATTTCACTTAGTTTCATTTTAGAGTCTGTTCTATATCTAAGCTCAAGTTCAGTAAATGTTTATCATTAACATTATTCAGAATAGTAATAGGTAAAATTCAATCTTCAATAACAAAACAATATCATTATCAATAACAAATGCAGTTAGGCCTCTTAGCTGTCATTAAAATAATTGGAAAACTACATTCAGAATTTAGAAAACTTTAACTGTACATGTTTCAGGGAATTTGGATTACGTAACTAGGTTCACGGGAAAAAACTGTATTCAGGTAAGTATCAAGAACTTCAAACCAAGTCACTCGAAGTATGCCTCAGGAAAAAGAGAGATTGACAAACAGGTTTGTCATAAACACAGGTTAAAACTGTTTAAGCAGAGAGCAAAGCAAAAGACTCCAGTGAGGAGCATGGGTTTATTTGTTACTTTTAAGCTTCTAAAAGAGTTGATAATTGTAGGAACCCTGAGAAGAAAAGTTCAGCTACCTAGCATAAAGCCAAATGTTTGGTTTCACAATGCATGACCAATGTTTTTCATACCAACATTACAGCTGACGGGCTTGAAACAGTCCTGTGCACAGAGGATGAATGTTCCAAATCAACAATTAGTTGGTCCACTGTCTTTTTAAGGTCTGAAGAGCAGTGCTTTACCCTGAAAAAGGTCAAGTGTATTACTTGAAATACAAGTATGAATATAATCTCCATGCCTTCTCATTTTTATTCTCTATAAAAAACAATTCAGGTGATGACTTATAAAAATATGTTCTCAATTATCAATAAGGAGAATCCATAAATAAAAATTACTTTCACATAATTTAATTTTAATATAAATTTAACTTAAGCAAATTCCTGAAAGTAATGGCTTATACCATGTTCTAATTTCGTAGTCACCTTTACTTACTTGGTATTTGGGGGAAGAAATACTAATAATGATTGAAATGCTTTAAGTTCATCAATTAAAGTAACTCATGCATACAAATAAGTACTTACACACAGAAATGTCAGCTATTAGAAGTGTACTGATAAACTTGGGTAACAAGAGACCCTATCTCAGAAAACTTGAAACTCCACACAAAACAAACTATATATAAAACTATCTAAACCAAACTGCATTTAAATTAAGAATGAAGAGTTTCTAATATAAAATTTATGTAGAGTGTTTAATTTAAAAACTGGTCATTTAGAACAAAGTTTAAACTTTTACTAGACATTACACATATATAGACAAGAGTATAATCTGATTAACTTGCATAATGTTTTACACCAGAAAATTTCAAAAGGAAGTAAAGCTCTTTGGAGGAAATCAGAAGAGCTGAAAGCACTGAATGGTCTAAACAGCAATGATTGGCTAGCATGGAGGAGGAACTGCTGTCTTCTCTGGTGGGAATGAGCTCTCATCATCTATCACAATCCCTATTCTTTGTTTAAATCCAGTCTATACTGCTCAAAAAATTATGTTTCACTTTTGCAGATGTCCAAATTTGGCAATCCCAAATTTGATAAAAATGGCTACTCTGTGGAGACAAGATCTACAACCAGTGAGTCACAATGATTCCTAAAGTTGTATTCTTGTGATTCGCACAGAGCTCATGGAGAAAGTGACTGGCGAGTTACGTTTGCAGGAGGTGAGAGAAGTACTGTATCTGTCAACACCTAGATAACAAACTTCAGGTGAGAGGTTTTCCACCCAAAGATACAACTAGAATTATTCCTTTAGTTTCTCCCTAACTCATTAAAGTATAAAAAGAAAAACTATGGACCAGGTAATATGAAAATCCAGTAATTCAAGTTTAAAGAATTTGGGATTTTAATTGGCTAGGCCAGGAAGAGCTAGAGCGCAAGAAAAAGTATAGAAGTAAAATGAGACAGAGAAAAGAAAACAAGAAAATTAAGTGGGGTAGTAGCAATGGAAGACAGGATATAGACATAGACGATATTGGCAAAGCAAAAATATGTAGGAGGTAAATGAATAACAATATGAGAAATTTGGATAATTTACTTGGTATTATTTATAAAATTAGTTCCAAATGAGATAGTTCCTTGAAACCCCCTATATTTTTACTTTTAGACTATCATATTAAATATGATTTAAAAAGATAAAATTTATGTAAATATGAACAACTATGTAAGTAAGGTCCTAGAAAGCTGGTGTGCTGGCTAGTTTTATGTCAGTTTGATGCATGCTGGAGTCATCAGGAAGGAGGGAGCCTCAACTGACTAAATGCCTTCACAAAACTGAGCTGTAGGCAAGTCTGTAGGGCATTTTCTTAATTAGTGATTGATGTGGGAGGGCCCAGCCCGGGGATGGCACCGCCCACAACGTGACTAACATATAAGTTCAGGAAAACTACAGAAAACATAAAAATATGGCTTTTTATCTAACAAAAGTACATGTTTGCTCTGTGTATTGCTCTAGGGGTAAAAAGAGAAATAAGATGGGTCTGTGCTCTTATATTTTGGTTGTGAGCCTAGCCTTTAACGGCTGAGCCATCTCTCCAGCCCGGGTCTGTGCTCTTAAATAGGCTTATAGACTAGCAGGGGATTTTTGATTTTGAAAAGATAAATGATTAAGGCTATAAAAGAATAACATAATAGCTGTGTATAGCTCAGTTATGCTTAAAAATCTCTATCAAGGATAAAGGGGGTGAGTATGATAAAAATATATGCATATATGAAAGTATAATAAACCCCATATAATTAATATATGGAACTAAAAACCTACAATTCAAAGACAGTATTTATTTATATATATATGGCCAAGTCACATAGAATAGAAAAATAAGAACTCAAAAGTTGTTATTTTTCTTTTTATAAATCATCTCTCAAATCACATTTCACCATCATACTGTATTCATAACATTCTTAAGATCAACAGAAAAGTATTTTTTTTCTTTACAACTTACTATCATTCAGCTGCAATAACTTTAGCTAATTCTGGATTCTCAGGCTCCTGTTTGAAGGTTTTCTTGCACTGTTTTAAGTAAGGAAAAACTAATGCTGCTTTTTTTGGAGCCAGATCCTACATTCCACTAATAGTCAAGACAAATTAATAAACTTAAATAGCATTCTATAAACAACAGGCTAGAAACACACTTAACAATAACATTTTATCAATATTTTTGAAATTGTTTTATAAATGCACTGAGCTTTAAGTGCTAAAATAAGTGTATACAAGAACATACATTTTAGGTTGCAATGCTTCCAGAGAAGAATCTTCTTTAAATCCATCCATTGGGCAGTCCCCTTGATTCATACTGACAGTTGTATGAATCTTAAGACAAAATAAGATTAAACAAACTCATGGTCATTCAATAAATTCTACTGATGCAGAACCCAAACAACTTTTTGTGTGCTATTCATAAACAAAACTGGTAAAAATAAAGATTCTGAAAGTCTCTTTTAGTCAAGGGAAAACTCCTTGTGGTTTTACCTTAATATGGGCAAAAATTAGCACCCTAATGGTTATTTAACAGAACATTAAATTATCCAAAATAATTTTTGTTACAATTCTAAAGGAAATGATTGTAATAATTCAAAATTAGCTATTAGGGGCTGGAGAGATGGCTCAGTGGGTAAGAGCGCTGACTACTCTTCCAGGGTAACCGGGTTCAACTCCCAGCACCCATATGGCAGCTCACAACTGTCTCTAACTCCAAGTTCTGACACCTTCACACAGACACACCTGCAGGCAAAATACCAATGCAAATAAAAAATAAATAAATTAAAAAAAATAAAATAGCCGGGCAGTGGTGGCGCACGCCTTTAATCCCAGCACTCGGGAGGCAGAGCCAGGCGGATCTCTGTGAGTTCGAGGCCAGCCTGGGCTACCAAGTGAGTTCCAGGAAAGGCGCAAAGCTACACAGAGAAACCCTGTCTCGAAAAACAAAAACAAAAAAAAAAATAAAATAAAATAAAATTTGCTACTAAACTATACACCTTGTGATATCTTTATTCTGTTCAAAACTACAAAATACTATCTAGTACAAACTCTAAAAACATTACTGGTTATAAAACAAGAATTGAATAAATGGAGAACTGTGCCAATTTTCTGGAGATAGACTTAACATGCTAAAATTAACCAAATAAAATTAACCAAATATAAAATTAATAGTCAGGCCTGGTAGCACTGGCCTGTATCCCTAGCTACCTCAGAGGCTAAAACAGAGGGATCATAACTTCAAAGCCAGCCTGAGCAACTTAGCAAGACTTTACAAAAAAATCCTTAAAAACAGAAATAAGTAAAATACCATTAAAACAAAAATGCCCAAATATAGCAAAATGAGGAAAAAGTTTACAATAATACCATTGAGACCTTTTGTCCAACTACTCCTGAGAATGGGGCCCAACCTGGAGTGTGGTTAATATATCCATTGGAAGAAACTGATTTTTCCTTTGCCAGTAGGTATCAATTACATAAAGCTTCTTGGTTAGGGGTGGGAGCCTGTGTTCTCACTCTTTCCTCTGGCTTACATCTTTCCGCCTATTCTTCTGTATTGTTCCCTGAGCCTTGGAGAGGTGCCACTTGTGGCTGGGCACTCAACAACCATTTATTATCAGTTATGAGTCTCTGCAGTCACCACTGACCACTAAAGAAGCTTCTCTGACCAAAGCTGACAGCTGCATTAATCTATGGGCAAAACTACAGCTGTTTGGAAGGTACATCTTGTCTATCAACAGCACTAGACTCCCCATTAATGACCTCCCCAGTGATGGCGTTTTGATCAGGTTTACAGTCCCAGGTGTGAATTCTCTCTTGTGCAGCAGACATCAGATCTAATCAGAAAGCCATCAATTTTTTTAAATTTTATAATTTAATTTAATTTTACATATCAGCCAGAGATTCCCTTGTTCTCCTCCCTCCCATCCCCCGCTCCACCTTCTCCCCCAGCCCACCCCCCATTCCCATCTCCTCCAGGGCAAAGACTCCCCTGAGGATTGAGCTCAACCTGGTAGATTCAATCCAGGCAGGTCCAGTCCCCTCCTCCCAGGCTGAGCCAAGTGTCCCTGTATAAGCCCCAGGTTCCAAACAGCCAACTCATGCACTGAGTACAGGACCCGGTCCCACTGCCTGGGTGCCTCCCAAACAGATCAAGCTAATCAACTGTCTCACTTATCCAGAGGGCCTGATCCAGTTGGGGGCTCCTCAGCTATTGGTTCATAGTTCATGTGTTTCCATTTGTTTGGCTATTTGTCCCTGTGCTTTATCCAACCTTGGTCTCAACAATTCTCACTCACACAGACCCTCCTCTTTCTCACCAATTGGACTCCTGGAGCTCCACCTGGGGCCTGGCCGTGGATCTCTGCATCCAGTTTCCTCAGTCATTGGATGGGGTTTCTAGCATGACAATTAGGGTGTTTGGCCATCCTATCACCAGAGTAGGTCAGTTTGGGCTGTCTCTCGACCATTGCCAGTAGTCTATTGTGGGGGTATCTTTGTGGATTTCTGTGGGTCTCTCTAGCACTTTGCTTCTTCCTATTTTCATGTGGTCTTCATTTATCATGGTCTTTTATTCCTTGTTCTCCCTCTCTGTTCTTGATCCAGCTGGGATCTCCCGCTCCCCTAAGCTCTCTTTCCCTCGACCCTTGCCCTTCATTACCCCCACTCATGTCCATGTTGTTCATGTAGATCTCATCCATTTCTCTCAGACTGGCCACTATTAAACCAGTGGGTTCATCTTGCCTGGGTGATGGTATTGAACTCAAGGTCTATAGCTGAGTAAGACTATTGATGACAATCTTCCCCTGTAAGTTTTCATGGCAACTCCTGGCACGATGAGGGCTAGCCAGCAGGGAGGAAGCTTCTAGCCCAGTGCCAGCGTGATTTCTCTAGGCCCCTTGCCCAAAGCATTTGATGTCTTCACTAGTTTTTTATCACCTAGTGCTGGTGGGCAACTAAAGGCAGTGGCAATTGCCTGTATTGTTTGGGGGATTATGTGGGGGAGGGGCTTCTTTGACTAACAACTCAGAAAATTAACCATTTATGAGTCTACAGTCACCCTGACATTGGAATTTTTTTTTTAATAACCTATGGTTTGAGGGGATAGCTTTACCCATTCACAAAGGGTACTTCTGTTAAAACACTTTTGATTAGCTTATCAAGTATCAGATTTTCTTATGGCCTTTTTATATACCTTTAGTTCCCAATCTTTTCTCCCATCTCCCTGTTCCCTCCCCTACCCCATTAAACCTTCTCACTCCCAGTATCTACCCTTCCACTTTGGAATCTCATGTTCTACTTCCCTTCTTAAAGAATCCCTCTCCCATGGGCTCTTTTCTAGTTTCCCTGGAATCTACATGTACCCACTTCCACATAGATGCACATACATAAAAGTAGAAGCTAGGAGTGGCATCATAGAGAACACGTGGTGTTTATCATTTTGAACCTGAGTTACCTCACTTAATATTTTCCAGTTTCATCCATTTTCCCACAAATTTCATAATTCCATTTTCCCTTATGGTAATATTCCTAATAAAATTCCACTGTGTGTATGTATCACAGTTTTATTATCCATTTATCTGTTAATGAACATCTGGTCTGATTCAATTTATCTTGATATTATGAACAGAGTAGCAATTAATATGAACATGCAAGCATCTATGTGGTAGGATATAGAATCTTTTGGGTATATGTCCAGGGACAGAATACTTGGGTCAGATGAAAATTCTATTTTTAGATTTTTGAGAAACTTCTACAGTGTTTTCCATAATGGAGCCTGGTTTCATTGTATCCCATTAGATTTTGGTGTGTTGTGTCTTCATTTTCATTCAGTTCTAGGAATTGTTAATGATCGATCTACCATTTAACAAACCTTTTTATTTCTAGCTTTATTCTATTGTGGTCAGACAGACTACAAAAACTATTTCAGTTTTCCTTTATTTGGTGAGACCTGCTTTATGTCTCACCAAAATGTGTGTAAAATGTGTGACCTATTTTACAGAAACTTCCATGGGATACTTGGAAGAATGTCTATTCTGTGCTGTTTCCTAGAATCCATTTGGTCTATAATGTCATTTCACTCTGTTTAGTTTACATCAGAATTGACATAAGCACTTGTGTTGAGGCTCATCTGTGACTTTGTATCTAGTAGTTAAGAACTTTGGTGCATCTATACTTAGAATTCTTCTATCTTCCTGATTGCTTCTTTTTTTTTTTTTTTTGGTTTTTCGAGACAGGGTTTCTCTGTGTAGCTTTGCGCCTTTCCTGGAACTCACTTGGTAGCCCAGGCTGGCCTCGAACTCACAGAGATCCGCCTGGCTCTGCCTCCCGAGTGCTGGGATTAAAGGCGTGCGCCACCACCGCCCGGCCCTGATTGCTTCTTTAGTCAGCAGGAAGTCACTTTATCCTGACTAGTTTCAGTTTGAAGTCTATTTTGTTAGATGTTAGAGATTCTTATTTGTTTCCTAGTTTCAATTGCTTGGAATACTTTTTTTCATCTTTTTACCATAAAAAAAGTTTATCTTTGATGTATATCTTGGAGCAAGAAAACAGACGTTGTTTAATCAAATCTGCTAATATGTGTCATTTGATAGAGGATTGAGCATTAATGCATAGAGTTATTACTGAAAAGTGTAAATCAAGTTCTGCCATTTTTATTTGGAGAATTTGGTATTTTAAAAATCATTTGTTCTAGCGTCTTTTATTTTATTTTTTTTTCTGTGTGTTTGTCATTCCCTTCAGTCTGAAGAATCACTACCAACATCCTCTGTAGAGCTGGCTAAATGATCACACATTCTTGTAGCCTGCTTTTATCATGGAATGTTTCTCTTTCAGCACCAATTATGACAATATTTCTGAGTACAGTAGTCTTGGCTGGATGTTGTGGTCTTTCAGACTTGAAGTATATATTTCTATATCCTTTTGGCTTTTAAAGTTTTTGCTGAAAAAAACAGCTGCTATTTGATGGGCCTCTAAGTGTAACTTGGTGTTTCTATCTTGCAACTCAATACATTTTCTTTGTTCTGTTATATTTAGTGTACTAATTATGCACGACACTGGGGATGTTCCTATCTTATGCTATTTGATGTTCTATGCCTCTTGTACTTGGATGAGCCTCTCTAAATTAGGGAGATGTGATGGCTATTCTTGGTCTTGGTTGTCAACTTGACTACATCTGGCATTAACCAAAACCCAAATGGCTGAGCACATCTATCAGAGATTTGTTTCTTAATTAAGTCATTTCAAGTGGAAAGATCCACTTCTGTTCTGGATATGTGAGGTGGAAAGATCCAAATTTACCAGATTTTTTGCAGATTTTAGACCTTTTATCTGAG